TTTTTTTTTTTTTTTTTTTGCCTGTTTACTCTGGTGTCTTAATTTAGGCTGCTATAACAAATACCATAAACTGGATGACTTAAGGCATTTATTTCTCACAGTTTGGATGCTGTGAAGCCCGAGATCAGGGTGCTAGAATGGTTGGGTCCTGATAAAAGCGTACTTCCTGGCTTGCAAATGGCTGTATTCTTACTCTGTTCTTATATGGCAGAGAAAGAGCTCTGGTGTCTCTTCCTGTTCTTATGAAGGCATTAATCCCACCACATGGCTCAATCCTCATGATCTCATCTAATCCTAATTACCTCCCAAAGGCCTACCCCCTAATACCATCACATTGGGGGTTAGGGCTTCAACATATGATTTGGGGGTGGGGACATAAACATTCAGTCCATATCACCTAGTTAGAACTTCTAGTACAATAGAACTGGCATGAGTGGCATCCTTGTCCTTCTGATCTTAGGAGGAAGCATCCAGTCTTTCATCAATAAGGATGATGCTAGCTGTAGGTTTTTCATAGATGCTCAAGTTGAAGATGTTCCTTTGTATACCTAGTTTAAGTGTTTTTATTATGAAGGGATGTTGAATTTTGTCAGATGGTTTTTCTGTGTCTATTGAGATGATCATGAGGTTTTTGTTTTTTATTCTATTGATGTGATATATTACATCAATTGATTTTTGGATGTTAAACCAACTTTGCATCCCACTTGGTAGTGGTGAATAATTCTTTTGCGTATATGTTGCTAGATTCAGTTTGCTAGTATTTTGTTGAGGGTTTCTGCATCCATATTCACAAGATATTGGTTGGTAATTTTCTCTCCTTGTAATGTCTTTGTCTAGTTTTGCATCAGCGTAATACTAGCCTCATAGAATGAGTTGGAAAGTGCTCCTCCCTCTACTGCTTTTTGAAGAGTTGGTAAAACATTGGGATTAATTATTCTTTAAATATCTGGTAGAATTAGGCAGTAAGCCCATTTGGGCCTTGGCTTTTTTTTATGGTCAGGTTTTTTATTATTAATTCAATCTCTTTACTTGTTATACAACTGTTCAGATTGCTGATTTCTTCTTGAGTCATTTTCAGCAGTTTGTCTTTGTAGGAATTTGTCCACTTCACCTGTTACATAATTTACTGACACAGAACAGTTCATAGATTATTTTATGATCATTTTTATCTCTATAAGGTCAGTAGTAATGTCCCTTCTTTCGTTTCTGATTCTAGTCATTTCAGCCTTCTTTTTTCTTGGCCAAACCAGTAAAAGGTTTTCAGTTTTGTTGATTTCGTCAAAGAACCAGCTATTTGTTTCACTGATTTTGTTTTTCTCTTCTCTATCTCATTATTACCACTCTAATCTTTATTCTTTCCTTCTGCATGCTAGAAGTTTAGTTTGCTCTTCTTTTTCCAGTGTCTTACGGTGGATGGAAAGTTACGATGATTTGAAATGCTAATTCTTTTTTAATATAGGCATTTTATAGCTATATATTTCTCTCCAAGAACTGCTTTTACTCCATCTCATAAGTTTTGGTATGTTGTGTTTTCATTCATCTCAATGCATTTTCTTTTTCTTTTTTTCTTTTTTCTTTTTGTCTTTTTTCGTGT